GGTCAATTCTGTAACTTTGTCGAATTGTTTCACTTTTCGCACATTCATCTCACGCGAAGAAATACGCTCGATTCGTTATGAGTAAAGTGAAAATGCGATATCCCTAGATTCACGGGAGCATAATTCACGAGCTCGACACAGTGGATACGTCTACTACAATAAACGGCTGTGCACTGATTGGTGCAGAAAAAACACAATCAAGTCGTCAACAGTCAAGTCGTTGTAATAATACACGTTATAATAGTACGTTCGTAAATAATATTAATAATGAATGTTACAGAAAAACAAAAAGAAGTAATGTTAAATTTTATGAATGAACATCCAGATTTTGGTCGGGGCCTAAGATATAAAAGTGAAAATAAGCGAAAAATGGTAAGTATTTTGAATAATAATAGTATTTGTTTCTGTTAGTCGCAATACAGTTTTCGATTATTTTCTGTAGTCTTTTAAAACAATTTTTTACCACTTAGTAATTAGACATTAAATAACAAAGTGTGAAAATCAAATTGATAAGTATTAAGATGCAAAAGCATTTAAATGTAATATAGTGTAAAATATTATCTATTAAATATTGTTATTTACTAAACAAATGGTTTTAAATATATGATTGTCATTTCAGATTTATAAAAAACACATAATTCTTAGTTTTTAAACATTTACAGGATGAATTGTGGGAGAAATTAGCCAAAATATTAAATGCAGTTGGATTTGGATCATGTAAATCTTCTAAAGAATGGGCTAAGGTAAATTTTATTACATCACAAAATGTCAATGGTTTATGTGAATAGGCTGCATTTGAGAGCACGCTTTCAATGCTTTGTCTTTGTTCAACTTTTAGTAAATAACAAAGATGTAACAACGTTTTTAACATGTAACCATCAAGACAAACGTAGTAGTAGTATTCTTTGAAATCTATGAAAAAGAATCTATGATAAATACCAGCGAGTTAGTTTGCATTTAATTTTATATAATTGCTTTTATTTTTATATGATCGTTGTTTAAGTATTTTAAATTATTATATATTGCTTATCTTTTTTTATCTAGACATGGAGAGATTGGAAATCCAACACATTGAAGAAAGCTGCAAAACAGAAGTCACATATGTTGGGAACAAGTGGTGGACCACCTCTTAAAAATTTTCAATTGACATCTATGGAAAATGCTTTTTGACACCTGATGCCACTGGGTTAACAGACATACCTGAATGTGGGTTAGAGGACGTCACTACATTTTTAAACCTATCTTCAGATATTCATCAAGAATTCAATGAGAATGATTTTGAATTAAATTTTCTACAGAACACTTTTGACAAAGAAATATTTAATCTATCTGAAGTTAAAAACAATGAAAACAGTTTAGTATGTACTACTATTGTTTTTAAATATAATACTGCAAGTTTTTGTAATCGTAGATAAAGAGATTTTATATTATTTTTTGATATAAATAATAGGAGCAAGATAATAAGACAGATGAGTATCTACAAAGACAGAAAGTATCTACAAAGCATTTAGAAAAACAAAATATGTATAAAAACAGAGAGTATCTATCTACAGACTATCTACACAGTAATAAAGAAAATATAAACAATGATGATGAGACATACTGTGTAGCTTCTTCAAAGTGTAAGGAGATATCAACCTCTTCTAGTGCAAAGAGATACCAACCTTCTCTATCTACAACATATTCAAAAGGTATAAACGCTCTAATTTATATAACCTTTATTAACATTTACATTTAAGAAACTTTTTAATCATTCTTTTATTTAGACATGAAGAAACCAAAACTTATGGCAACTGCAGTAAATTTACTAGAAAAGAAATCTTCTATGTTCGAAAACTTAAAACAAAAAATGTTAGAATTAAATCAAGAAACATTAAAATTGAAAAAAGAAGAACTAGCAGTACATAAAGGCATACTGGAAGAATTGCAGAATTTAAATAACGGATTAACAGCTATTCGAGAAGTGATGCTTGGACAGTATCTAGATCCTTAAAAGTACCCTAGATCCTTAAAAGTACATGGTACATCTCTATGTACCATGTGTTTTGTGATGACATGTACAAAATTTATATTTATTTTAGTTTGATTAAACTTTATTTTATTTTCTTTCAGTATGAACATATTTTAAATGTGATATAAAAATACAATAGATATATGTTAAACGTAAGCATTGAAAAAGTTTATTATTAATTTGAAGTTTAGAGAGTTTATTTTGTTACATGTTTCAGTTTTCAGTACGACATATACATATATTATATGTGATATATTCTATGTAACTATATATTGTTATTAATTATATTATAAAACTCAGTGAATATGTGTAGGAAAGGATATGTAGGAGGATTATATCTAAAGATCTCATAAGTCAGTATTTCATAAAATATAAGAATATTTTCTTAGTTTATTGATTATGTGTTTGTTTTTATTAGAACAATGCCAAAATTAGTTTACAGGATAACATCGAAGTGTATACAATACTATTTTCCTATTTTAAAGATATATATATATATATATATATATATATATATATATTAACTTGAATTTCACGTGACAATGTGTTAAAAAATTTAATTAATTAGTAAAATACTATCGAATTACTCGATTTTGGGTATCTTCTCCAGTTTCTTGGCCAATACAACTATTATATAGTATTTGTGGTGCTAAGTCTATTTCATCCAAATATGTTTCATTATTAGAAATTTACCATCTGATCGCCATATTATGCAGAACGCAACAAGCATATTGATAATAAGAGCTGTAGAAAATATTATTCAAAATAAATAATACGCATAAAAGCAAAATCAAAATTAATCATCATTATAAAACAAAAACTATAAAATGAAAAAAACAAATATAAATACATTAAAACAAATATAAATACATTACCAGCAAATTCGGGACGATAATGTAAAGCTCGGTCTTTCCGTAAGCAACGCCAACGACCTTTCAAACTGCCGAAACATTGTTCTATAGCCGCACAAGTGCGGACATGATGACCTGTGTACCTTGCGCCTGGAGTTCCTTCTAGTTGATTTAACTTTAGCGTCTATAAAAAGGAAGAAGAGGATATGCAGAATCACCTAAAACATATAATATCCATTTTAATAAATTCTCTGTTTAAAGCTGTCAATCTTTTTGTTTGATTTATTAAAAATAAAAAAACAAAAAGTATAATTAATAAGAAAAAGTATAATTAATAAGGAAAAATATAATTAATAAGGAAAGTTAAAGATGTTAAGTACATGAATACAAATGTTTTTGTGTGTATTTCAATATTCTGAACAATAATATAATTATTTACCTAAAAGCCAGAAATTTATTTCACCTTCTCTGTGTCTCTCTTCTAAATGGATAAATATTCTTGATGAACGTAATACTCGAGCATCATGTGTTCAGCCACCGTGAGCACTATTTACAGCAAGAATTTCGTAGTTGGAATCACAAATCTGAAATCACATTTATTAGGTAGTACTTTATTATTAGTATTGTATATTATTTTTTAAATATATTTTAGCATTACCGAATATTTCTATACAATTATAACTTACAACTAATACATTTAATAAATGATATAATTTTCTATTAATAAATAGATATTTCCTCTCAGCTTCGGGTGGAAAAATGGCAACATGTGTTCCATCGATTGCTCCAATTACTCCTGGAAAACCGCCTTTTCTGAAAAATCTTAAAAAACAATTATTTTAATAAAATATTTTTATCTTTAAAAATCTATTAAGAATGCACCAACATTATTTAAGCAATACTTAAACGTATGTCTATTTTTATTTTCCTTTCTAAATAACGACAGACACATTTAAATTTTGCTTAAAACTAAAATAACGTTGACACAATCAGGTCTAAAACTTACATTATGAATGTTATATAAAATAAATCGTAAAATTACAATATAAATATCTGACTAGAAGTTAATGAGTACTTTCCAACCACGTATAGGCGACACTGTGTAACACAGTGTCACCTGTATACATAGCTGGAAACCATCTAATATTTATTCGATCTACGTTCTATATACATTACCCTTCTTTGATATATTGGATTTTATCAGCAGTTACTGGAAAACGAATCCAACTGTTCATCACACAATTCAAAGCATTGACAGTTGCATGAAGAGCACGACTTAATGATGTTTGAGACATACAAGTAAACAAATCTTGACCAACTCTTCTTTGATAAGATCCCGCTGCAAAGAAATTTAACGATGCCAATATCTAAAAATAACACATTCAATCAAAAAAATTAGAGAAATCATTGAGAATTTAATGGTGTTATATAAATGAAAGATTTAAAATATATTGTACTTGGAAATCATGAGATATCGCTGTTATTCGTGATCTTTCAGGCATAAATGGCGCCAATTCTTCAATCACGATACGACTTGCATTTTTTGTCAGTCTAAAACATATATAAAAACATGTCATCATGCACTGAAATACAAAACTAAAATATAAAACTTTTTCACTATTAAGAACTTTAAATATAAAATTTTACCTGTACATCTTACAAAATTCGTTATCAGAAATTGAAAAAGGATCTAATATATCTCTGAGTATCCTTCGTGGAATTCTCATGTTTGTTTGATTGTATTGTTCATTATTTTTTTCATAACCAAGGAATAAAATAGCAGCCATGTACATTGCCATTATTAAATAGTTCTTTGCTTTTTTTGCTTTATATGTAATAAAAATAACCTTAAAATTAAGCGGAAATAAGTCCAATCCAAACCACGACCTCCGTTTTATCACCCGAGATATCAACTTTGATAGTGGATATTTCGATATCGTTATTGTCAACATAGTCAACACCATTAACTTTTCTGTATATTCGACGACCCCGAGAACAGTTCACATTACAAAGAGGTACACATTTCTGGACAAGACAACCACGACTTCCAGGATACGAAGATGGAAGTTCCACCGGGGCCACTAGCGACGTTTTTTTTTACCGTTCCGTCTATATATAAAGTCCACAACTGTCAGAGACACGAGACACTCTCGTTACGTCCGAATCGGTGACGTTGCCGTCCGTAACTCATAACTTCTCTTTGTCTATTTCTCAGTCTTTCTCTCTCAGATCTCACTATTCGACAAAAAATTTTTTGCCGCACAAACTCCCGTTAGATGGCTCGCATTTTCACTATGGTGAAAGTTACTGAATCGCGCGAGCTACTCACTTTTCGCATTTTCACTATATTTTAGATACAGAATTGACCCCCAGTTGTAAAATGTAAGTATATATTATATTCTTTTTTTAGAGAAACTAAAAAAAACTTAAAATATAAAGTGTGTGATACTCTAAAAACTTACCTTTTTAAAAAAAGGTAAAAACAGGCGCCAAGTACACGCACAACACGTATTGTATTTAAATTAAATTAGTTTTTTATTTAT